TGTGTGATTACTAACTACTAACATCAAATTAACACTTTCGCGCTCTCCGCAAAGGTCACTCAGCCAACCGAATGTGCGCGCTGCGTTTTTATCGCTTAAGCGTAAAAACAAAAATGTGTATACTCTTTTTACTCTTCTGACCTTAGTTCTCATGCTACGTATTTCATTTTGGTACCAACGTGTTCGCAATAAAATTCTCTAGAAGAACATTAGTAAAATAAGTCACGAAACATATAGGGATACCAGCACCAAATAAATAACTACGTAGATGACTCGCCGTGAGCGCCCATCAGCAACAAAATGTTTTTACTCTTGGGATTGTAATCACCTCCACACTTGTTCTACAGCGTTAATTTTGGTATCAATGGACTCGCAATGAAATTCCCAACACGGTGATATGAATATAAGCGTAGAATAATGATGCAGCCCGCCCGCAAGAGTGTGGGAAGTGGTGAAATTGTTACCCGGTATCGGTGACGGGACGACGCACGGCGCTTTGAAAGTTTATACTTATTTCACTCTCATGACATTAATTTTCTATGTACGTCATTCATTTTTATGTCAATGTGTTCGCAATAGAATGTTCTATGTGCCCATAGGTAAAAAATATCAACAAAGCGTAAGTTAGAATAGCGACAAATATAAAACAACGCTGGAACATATCAGTGAGCGTCAAACACACACGAAATATTTTTACTTTTGTTATGTTTGTCAAGATTATACTTGTTGCACACAGTTATTTTTGGTTGTATATTGATCGGAATAAAATTCCCTAAACAGACATATGCATATAATACATGATATGGGGGAAGAATTACCAGTATAAACGGCTAAAGTCACCCACCTGCAACCCGTTTGGGACAAAATACCATTTGATCGAAGTTATCCACACCTTTCATGAACTTATTGTACCATGCAGCCTAGTGGTGAGAAAGAGAGCCTCATAGCGCGCAGTTTGAAACAAACCCAAAGTAAATCGGATAAAAATTGAATTTTATACAAATATTTTAAAAGTTGACATAACTTTATGTCCACTATGCGTTTACGTTAGACGAAACCGAACGCGCCGGCGCGTCCAGATAGCGCGAAAGTGTTAATGTAATAATTCGAAGGATAATATATCATACAGATAATAGCTGTATTGTATAAACAAGTTACCCATAGAAAACATAACTTGTAGTGGAATTACCGTCTATAGAAAACGGGATATCATCACCACATACTATTATAATTCACCAGCTATTCTGCTGGGAATTATTCTTAAATACATTAGTCTTTGGACTTTACCATCATAAAAACATCTTATATAAATTAACTTAATTATCAATATTAAAGTAGAGTAAATGTGACCCTTCTATCACTTTCTGAAATGTGGACAATGTAAGCCAGGCGTCAGGGAGGAAGGAGGCAGCCATTGTTGTGTCACCTCCGAGACGTGTGGAGCAAATTTGGCTCCTATCATATCTGGACAATGTCGGCCAGGCGTCAATAGTATGGAGTGTTAGATGCAGCCATTGTTGAGACTAGACCAGAGGCTCACACGGGAGCAAATTCGGCTCCTGTTAAATTTACTTGGACGTAGTGTTATGGAAACTAAAGGTGTACCATTATCAACACGCTGTCATCAAATTCAAGTTAAGTGTTCTTTCCGAAACCCATTATCTATCATTAGTGGCCATTAATGTCATTGGCTAGGGTTAGCCGGTTAGAACGCGAAATCGCCTCATACTAAAGGTAATTAAGCCAGGTCTTTATTGTTCCATGTACAGTGTTTCTCTGAAATACCTGTCATATACTAGGTTTCTGGCTTCACAGCTAGCGCCCTTTTGACAGGTCAAGACGAGGAAGCATGTTTTGTGCACCAGTTACTGGGTGATGGAAGCTACCTCAAAGAGGATAATTTGGTGTCTACACCCTAGTTATACCTGGTGGACTAACCTGCTGTACTATAAGATAAGGAACCTCTTCAATGTATGTAGTCTAATTCTGTAGTTTGATTGGCTGCATATATAAATTTAATAAAACCCCCCTAATGTGTAGAGGATCGATTTGTGAGATTGAGATTATTGCAGAAATACAGTCCACTTATCATTATACAAATTGCTATCGAAGTATATAAATTAACGTAAATATAAATTCATATAAATTAAATAAATATAAATCTCACAGGTCGGTTCCCACATTGAGTGGCTCGTCTGCTGGCATCTCAGGGTTTGGCTCTCCATGCGGTTCATATCCGGGGAGTGTCCAATGTCCTGGCAGATGTCCTGTCTTGGTTCATTCCTCTGTCTACAGAATGGACAGTCGATGCCGATTCCTTCCGTTGGCTATGCCGAACGTACGGACTCCCGAACATGGACCTCTTCACGTCGGCATGGTCTCGGAGTCTCTCGATCTATGTGGCGCCCTTCCCCATCTGCGAGGCTGTCACGGTGGACCCCTTTTGGCAGGACTGGTCATGGTGGGGTTACCTGTACCTCTTCCCCCCCAATCCCGCTGTTGCTTCAGGTTCTGACACGGTTAGTCCTACCAAGGGAGAAAAGTCCTCGTGGCCCCTTGGTGCCTGGTCCAGCCTTGGTTCCAGGCGCTGCTTCATCGGTGTGCGAACCTGTTGCGTTTCCTGCATCTCCGCCTCTTCCAGCCGATCGGTCCAGTTTGGTATACTGCTGGTTCGGTCTTCTCTGCTCTACGCGTCTAGTCTTTCTGACATGTGTTTGTCACCATTGGTTTAGTGATCAAGTGGCTTCGTTGGTGTCCTATCTGAGAACTTCGTCTTGGCAACAGTATGAAGTTTCCTGGCGTTCTTTCTGCCATTTTCTCTCTCTTTGTAGGTTTTCTTCTATTTCGGATTGGGTTGTCTTGTCCTTTCTGTCTTGGGTTTTTCAGGACGATCATTTGATGCCTAATACTATCACCTCATATCGTGCGGCATTGGTGGAGCTGCTCCAGCTTGCAGCTCCATTCATTCAGGGTGAATGTCTTCTCGAATGTCTTCTCTACCCCATTCCATTGGACAGGGTGCTCTCTTATCTTTCCTCGCCTCGGTTTGTGGTGGCCTCTTCGTTTAAGAAGACAACTAACAACCTCGGCGTTTAAGATTGTTTTTCTGAGGCTCTTTTTTTTTTTTGTTTGTTTATTGGCCTTGGCCTTTGGGGGTCGGGTCTGGGAGCTTCATGCTCTCCTCCGGCGCAGGGGTTCCTGCTCTTTCAGTCCTGCTTTTTGGTTTGTTCGTTTGCAGCCTTCTCCTTCTCTTCTGGCAAAGAGTGAAACTGCTGCTTACCGGAGGGGTCCTTGGGTCATTGATGCTTGGTCAGGCCGGGGGTGCATCATGTGTTGTGTCCGGTTGCGGCTCTTTGCCATTCTTTGTGCACTTCGGCTTCGGTGGCTGGGTATGTGTTTCTAGTTGATACGGTTTCCCCTTGTTCCCTATTCCAGGGATAGGGTCTCCCAGGTCGTCCGCAGGGTTATTAAGTCTAGCCAACCTGCGGTCTATCCTTGTGCCCATGATGTTAGGAAGTTTCCCACATTGGCTGCTGTGTTTGGCAACATGTCTTGGGCTGATATTTGGGCATGGTGGATTTTGGAAGTTGAACAAGGTCCTGGCTGTCCATTACTTGGTTAACGTTCCTGCTTCTGGGCATTCCTGTGTTGCTTTGGGTCGGCGGTTGCAGTCGGTTGTCTCACCTTAGCGTTGAGGAGTGTGTGGTGGCTGCATCCTGGGTAAGTCCCTCTTTTCCTTATATTTGGTTATGTAGCTCCAGGGAGCCGAAGGGACTCCCCACAGGAAACCAGCGTTCAATGTAATGAAATGCCATTTTCTGGCTGAGCCCCAGAGGCTCCCTGGCAACCTTCCCTCCCTCTGGTTGGCAGTTTTCATGGGGTTTGATGCTTAGCTTCTGAAATGGATGACTGAGTATCTGGCGGGGGAAGTCCGAGGCTCCCCATTTCCCCTCTCGGGGACGGGAGGGCTGTGCGGACGAGCGGCACTGCAGTGGAGTGTGACGTTTGCTTGTGTCCTTGTGATTGGAGGGAGTTCTACCTCTTTTTGGTTGTTAGTTGTCTTTTGATTATCATGTGGGATTTGTTTTGTTATGCCTACCTTTCTGGGTGCCTAACTCCGGTCGATGGCAGATAAAAAAAAACTCCCAACCACAGGGGTTTTCCAGGGTCATTGCTCCCTGCAACCTCTCTGAAGAGGTCAGGTTCTGGCTCGTAGTCCCTGGTAGGTCGAACTCCATAGACTAATTTCCCGGTCTAATGTATCACTCATTAGCCTGATAGCTCCAGGGAGCCTCTGAGGTTCGCCCAGAAAATGGCATTTCATTACATTCAATGCTGTTTTTTTTATTGTGCTTGGTTGTAGGGTCAGAAAGATTTATGCTCTTCTCTGGAGGCAGGGTTTTTGTTCTGTTGGCCCAGGTGGGTGTTGTATTGATTTGCAGCCATCTCCTTTGCTGGCTAAGAACGAGTTGCTGAACTTTCGGAAGGGGTCCTTTGGTTGTTTGTTTTGGTTGGTTCGGTCAGGGATGCATCATGTATTTTGCCCAGTGGTGGGTCTTCACCACTACATTATGCCACTGATTCTGCCTTAGTGAATGCTTTGTAGGTTGATTCTTCTTCCTTTGTTCCCTGTTCCAAGATTCGTGTTTTTTATGTTGTCCTGCGTCATAAGTCCAGCCAACCTGTGGTCTATGATCATGCGCATGATGTTCATAAATCCAGCAATCTGATTGCATTCAGAATTCTAATGAGAATGAGATAGGTAACTTACTGCTAAAAACAAAACAAATAAGCAATTAAGTGCAAAAAATACAATTAACAATCATATAGATAAGAGCAGAATAAAAACAATTATCTACTATAAGGTACCCCGTCGATAAGCAACTCTGCCTATGAGGTGGGGGGGGGACAGATCTGCAGAAGTTCCTTATGTGTGCTTAGTAATAAAGACAAGTCAAATATAATTATTTAATATTACTGTACAAGTAAATATGTTTCAGGCATACCTCTCCTTGATGAAGTTGCAGCCCCAGCCCCAACATCCAAGCTTTGAGAGTCTAAACACCACCAATATATTTTTCATGGCTTATGCTGGAGTGAGTAGTTAAATTATTACATTGCAAATGCATATTGACAAGTCACATTAATATTGTTTAGTGCATTTTACTTGTGTTTACACTCATTGTAAGGACCTTAAATGCATGGTTTCATTAATTTTTTTTATTATGCAGAGTTTGCTATTTCTGTTCAGTAGATGGATTGGATGTAGTAGGTTCACATAAATATTGCATACAAGAATAACGGTAAATATTGTGCCTAAATTTAGTGATTACTAGATAAAGTATAAATGAATGAAGGTTGTAAAGACTTGAGTAAATATACAGGATCTCTCTAGTTTGGTCATCCCTGTGTAATTATCTCTAGTAGTTACATATATTACATTTTATCTAATTTCAATACTATTACATAGTACATGCATTAGTGTGTGTTAGTATGCTATCATTCTCATTATGGTGCATGATTCTTCATGAACATGGCTTTGCCATTATGCAGTTATTGATAAACCCAAGAACTGACTGATATGCATTTATGTATAAATGCTGCTGTCATTTGCACAGTTAGGCTGGATGTATACTCTTAAACATTTACTTAGAAAAGATTGTGGCAAGCCAAAAGATTAGGATATAGAATATTTTACATACAATGCATCGAGTGACAGACCAAAAACTTTTATAGCCATAGAAATATTGATGTTTTCCCTCAATGCATTAATATACTGTACATAAATTTTACATCTTCTTTTCCAGAGTATATGTTCAGATGTAACAGTGCAGCAAGAGGACATAGAACGAACTTGTAGTTCTTCATTGATGAATAAACAAAGGTAATGCTGTGAAGAGGGTTTATGTAGGAAGCAGAGTCTGCATAAAGGTGGACTTATTTTATATTTATAGTACAGTAATATAGATGTACTCCAGCATTATGAAATGTCCCATCAATGTTCAGTGTGTAATTACTTAAGGGTAGTAACAGGATTCGAGTTATGCTCGTCGTGTTCCATCTTCCCTGTAATCCTTGTCATATGATTTTAAACTGCTGGTGGTTTTGGCAGCTACCAATTTATTCCATAACCCTTGAACAGCAGTTAGCCATACATTGAATCACGGGGTCATGAGGTTATTGTCACATGACGATTTAAACAATTATCTGGGTTTTACATGTATGTTGCAAATATGCAGCATATTTATGCTGCATATTTGCAACATACATGTATACTGACCAGACCACACACTAGAAGTTGAAGGGACGACGACGTTTCAGTCCGTCCTGGACCATTCTCCTGCTTCTAATGCTGCTGGTGTCTATTCTATTTCCTGTTCATCTTGTCCTCTCCAATACTTTGGCGAAACTGGCCATACACTGAATGACAGACTTAAAGAACACAAGAGAAGTGTTAAGTCTGCAAGCACTAACAATGCTCTCTTCTGCCATGTGAGGGATTCTAATCATCCCATTGATTGGTCTTCCTCCAGAATAATCTTTCCTGCCTCTACTCTACACAGACGCCGTCTTATAGAATCGGCTCTTATACACAATGTACCCAACATGAACTTGAGTCCTGGCTTTGTTGCTGTGGACTCTTCCCTTTCACAGTATATACTCAAATGCTCTAATCTTTCTAACAAACGTGACTTAACATAAGCTTACCCCTTCTATCTTTCTTTCTCTTTCCTTTTCTTTCTCTTCTCCCCTTTTTCTGTTCATTGTCTTCTCCTATGCTCCCTTGCTATCCTCTTCTTATTCCTATTACTATCTCCTTCAGTGGTTATAATAGGAGCTGCCTCGTATGGGCCAATAGGCCTTCTGCAGTTCTCATTATTACTACTATCCCCTACACCTTACTTTCCTCCTCAGCTCTCTCTTGGCTATTTATTGCCTGTCTCTACCTCCTCATCACAATCGACTTGAGAATGGTCCAGGACGGACTGAAACGTCGTCGTCCCTTCAACTTCTAGTGTGTGGTCTGGTCAACATACTTCAGCCACGTTATTGTGACTCATCGCCTGCATACATGCATACTCATCAGGGCTTGACGTCTGCGAGAAGCCCTGTACAAGTTAGTTTACGCTTGTTTGTGCTGTGCTAACTGTCAGGGGATGTAATAGTCCTGATGTTACCTCGCCCCTCTCGTTACACATTGTTGTGTGGTTTAGTATGTGCTTCTTGACACCTACTGTTGCCTTGCAGTTACTTTGCAGTGTTTCCGGGGCTTAGCGTCCCCTCGGCCCGGTCATCGACCAGTCCTCCTCGTTGCTGGACTGGTCGCCCAAGCTGTTTGACGTGACTGCATGCAGCCTGGTTGATCAGGTATCCTTTGGAGGTGTTGATCCAGTTCTTTCTCGGTCACTGTGTGGGGTCGGCCTGTTTTGCCCCTTCTGTGTCATGGAGGCGTGTTGAACAGTCTTGGGCCTCTGAGGTTGCTGGGGTTCTCTCTGAATAGAGGGGCTAAGTTGGACTTTGTCCATGTTCAGTTGCCTTCTTCTTGCACCGCCCCTCTATGTTTGGTTCTTTCCCGGTTTGCAAAGTTTGGGTTCCTGGCTTCCTGGTTTACCCTGCCAGTTGGCATTTTCCGGATCTTCTCATGAGTCTCGCATTGGAACTACAGTGTCTCCGATCTCCGGGGCAAGCTCGATGGCATTGGGAAGTTTTCTGTACGGCAGATGTTCCTTCTCATTACTTGCTGGCTTGGGTTCCAGCCCTGCTGGCTTGGTGGTCGCACATGAGGTTTTCCCGCGGCTCCACCTCTTCCTATGCTCGATCGGTCCATGGCGGGGCTGGTTCGGTTCTGCCTCGAGTATCTCACCATCTGATGGTGGTCAGGTGGCTTCGTTGATGGTGTCCCACCTGCGTCCAGTCTTGGCAGCAGTGTGGGGTTTTCTTTGGCGGTCCTTCCTTTTTCTTTCTGTCCCTTAGTCAGTTTGCTATGTTTTCTTGGCGTGGTCTGGTCCTTCTTTTGTGGAGGTTTAAGGCCGTCATCTTGCCACATACTGTCGCCTTGTCTTGTGCGGCACTGGCGGAGCCGTTCCAGGTTGCTTCGGTTTTGGAAGTTGCCTCAGCACCGTTTCGCGAGCCGTCTCTGGTGTGGTTCACCTCCGGTCTGCTCTTGCCCTGCTTGAGCCATCCTGGTTCTTGGATTGCGTGCTCTTTTCTCTTCTCTTCGGTTTGTGGTGGCTCCTTTGGTTCCGAGTTGTTTTCCGAGGCACTTTTCTTGTTGGCGTTGGCGTCTGGGGGTCGGGTTGGAGTGCTTTATGCCCTCCTCCGGCACCGGGGTTTCGGCTCTTTTGATTCTCCTGATAGGTTTGTTCACCTGCGGCTGTCTCCTTCTCTTCTGGTGAGGACTGGCATGGCTGCTTTCTGGAGAGGCCCTTGGGTTGTTTGATGCTTGGTTTGTCTGGCCGGCGGTGTATCATGTTTTGTGTTTGGTTGCGGCACTGTGCCATGTTTGGCATGCCACAGCTGCTGTGATCAGGGTCGTGCTTTGGGTTGCTCAGAGTTCCCCTCTTCCCTGTTCCAGGGTGTGGTTCTCTCGGGTCGTCCGCAGAGTGGTTCGGTCCTGCCAGCCTGCTCTGTCCCTATGCCCACGTCGTTCGTTGGTTGGCTCTGCGTTCCTTCGTTGATGTTCCTGGACCTTGTCGGGCCTGTGTGGCCTTAGGTTGGCAGTTGCAGTTTTTGTCTCTGCTTCGCATTGGAGGTGTGCATCTTCTGCCTCCTGGATTAGATCCCTCTTGTTTCCATCTTTTGGTAAGTAGCTCCAGGGACTCGATGGGGTTCCCCCCAGAAAACCAGCATTGAATGTAATGAAACTCCATTTTCTAGGTGAAACCCGGAGGCTCCCCGGCAACCCTCCCTTCCCCCGGTCAGTGGGTTTTCGCATGTTTTGATGTCCAGCCTCAGAACTGAGAGGTGGATTGCCGGCGCAGAAGTCTGGGGCTCCCCCTTCTCCCTACCGCGGAGGGGGGGAGGGCTGCGCAGACAGCGGCGTGGCGACGTGTGACATCATACTCATTTGCCCGTTTCTGTTTGGGGAGTTCTATCCACTTGTTCGACTTTTCGTCGCAATTTTCACTAGAATAGGGGTTTGTTTTGGGATGCTTACCTTTCTGGGTGCCTGACCTGGCCGATAGCAGACATAGAATGCTTCCAACCACACGGGGGTTTCTATAGGCCATTGCTCCTCGTGCCTCTTATGAGGGGGCCAGGTTCTGGCTCGTGGTCCCCAGTAGGCCCACAGAACTCCATGCACATGACTGATGCCAAAGTTTGACATTAGCATATCAAGCTGGAAAGCTCCGTGAAGCCTCCGGGTCTCACCCAGAAAATGGCGTTTCATTACATTCAACACTGGTTTTTTGACTCCGAAGATTGGAATGTCATCTACCTGAAGTTGTTCCTTGATGTCGTCTATACTAATGTCTACAACATGTCGGATTACATATTTCGCTAATCGGTCTTCTTGGGGTTTGTAGCATTTGACTTTTTATCTACAGATGTCAGGCACATCTGAAAGCTCTAATTCCTTGCTGTGTTTGTGGTTCACTGCGATTAAGTTCCTTTGTTTATTAGGTCTGATATCGTGCACTTTGATCTTGAATGTCTTGGGAATGGCATGATATAGGATACTTTGTGCCCTGCTGTTTCCAAAAACACTCCTATCTTTGTCATCAAAGGCAATAATGAAAATCTGCAAACCAGGAGAACTTGTCCTACCTCGGTTGAGCGGTGGATGTTGAAATTGAGGCCGCATGGGGTTGGGGTGGTCTCTGTTTACCTCTGTATGATGGTGGCATTGTACCTCTAATCTGTTTGCCTTACTGTGATGTTTACTGTCCTGGAAAACTTCTGGATTCCCCTATAAGATCAGGTGACAAACATGATCCAAATGTATACCAAATGGGAGAGGGGTGGGGAAGCCTTGATATAAGCCTAATCTGTATGAATACACATCAGCTGCCTTTCCCCTGACAATGAATTATTATAATTATTATAATTAGTGTAGACATTTCTGGAATGTGGAAATCTCTGGGATAAGTTATGTGGAATTAACAGGCACATCTATTGCTTACATTTCAATTTCTGAGAATTTGGAGCAAGTATTTTAGTCTTAATACAGTTGCAACCGTTTCTTATAACTCATTAGAGATGTTCAGAAATGCTTAAGAAAAGTTCAGAGATTAAACCTGATGTGTTAGCCTTTGAAATCCTAGAGGTGTTCAGTGGAATCCCAGGTTGTATTGCTTTCCCATGTCATGGCATGATAATCTAGGGTGGTAACTTGGGAGTACCAAGTGAGTTGGTTTGAATCCTCCTCATGGCTCCTATACTGATTTTCTCATTGATAAATCATGTTAATGTGGTTTCATTGTGCACTGCTATTATCAAAATCCTGATCACTAAATCCTGAATATGAATAATTTTTCCAAAGTTTATTTTCTAAAGGAATACGAGGTCCAATTTCATGATGCTTACACATGGAACCACAGCTGTGTATTGTGAATGTCTGCCTTGTGTTGTGAACTCATAACAAGCATTGGGTTCACTGATATCTGAACCATGTATGCAGTCTATCACAGTCAGCATCTTCTATGGTACTACCATTGCCAAATAATCGCTGTTATTTATTTCATCATTACGTGATGCCGTGGGCATTAGCAGCACAGCAGTGCTGTGAGTGGCTGCTGTATGCACTACTCGTGGTCACTCTCTCAATACAGAGGCTCTCCTACCCAGGAGGGGTGCCCACAACTTTTCTGTGGGGAGCCGCTACGGCTCCCTGGAGCTTATTGGGCTAATGTATGTTATATTAGAGCGGGACATTAGCTAAGG